TGGATGAAATGTTTCTATCACCAGTGTATATGTTAAAAGTATTTAAAAATAAAAAATCCAAGATGGCGGCCGAATTAGGATACTTTATCTATGATGACAATTTTAAGAACTTTTTAAAATTCAGTTCTGTGGCATCATCCCTGCAACGAATTGACTTGTATTGAGGAATGGAAACTCTCGGTGCGAAGTATTAACTAATTTTCATAGTAAACAGTACTAAGGAACTACTAGGAGTCACCTTAGCTCTGTACAATGTATGGACAAAATGTTTCAATCGCCAAAGTGGATAAGTTAAAAGTATTCAAAAAGGAAAAATCCAAGATGGCGGCCGAGTTCGAGTATTTTATCTCTGATGATAAATTTAGGAATACATTTTGGGGTACCTGGCTTCCCTGCAGCGAGTCGGCCTTTATTGAGCCATGGTAGATTTCGGTTTGAAATATTATCTAGGCTACAAATTTTCCCCGATTTTTAGGTAATTTTGCAAACCCAAAATGTGGGAATTTTTTGTTTCGACATTCTAACATAAGAGTGACGGGGATCTATAATAAATCTCATCTTAATAGTTTCATGCGATTTTTTTGTAAAATTAGGTGGCAACACTAAGCATACATTTCTGTATACTAATACAGAAAGGTAGGTAATGTGAGGTTTTGTATTGTGACCATTGCAATACAAAGTTTCGCCACAGGATGGTACACGTGAAACAAAAATTCACTGTTACAATAGGAAGTCACCTAATCGTATCAAAACAGACAACTCTACTTGCCAACCAAGTCTATTCGAAAAGAAAACCGTCTGCACAAAAAAAATCAACGACAACGCCTCGCGGGCCTCTTGAGGCCCGCGCACACACGCACCCTCTAGTTATGATATAAGAATAAAATAATAATAATAATATTAGGTTTTAACCGCTCCGCTATTGGCCTCACTAGTTTTAATGTACTAGGTACATTCAGATACCAAGGTTAAATCGTTCTTAATAGTGAAAAATTATAATGTTGTTGAATATTATTTATTATTCTGACGGCCTCGGTGGTCCAGTGGTTAATTACCAATTGTGAAAAATTACCAATAAAGCGGTGTACTACACCGCTTTATTCCGATGGTCGCGGGTTTTAGAATAGAATAGAAAATCATTTATTCAAATAAACTTAATTTAAGCACTTTTGAATAGTCATAACAATTTGTTTTTTATCTACCACTCGTTCGGAAAGCTGTCTCATCACAAGAAGAACGAGCAAGAAACTTGTGTGTTGCTCTTTTAAATAATCCTTGTAAGTTTACATTTACAAGTCGAAACGTGTGAATACAAACTACCAACAAGCACTAATTTTTGGGTCAAATATAAATATGCAATAAGATTAAATCAGTCGTAGTGATAAGAGCAGACCAGTCCCTACAAGCAGCACTCGTTCACGAGTATGACGGATGAGCCAGCCATCACTGCGCTCGACCATATTTTAGGTTCGATTCCTTGCACGATGCAATCATTTATATTCATGAATACTATTGTTTGTATCGGTCTGAGTGATTTCTATGTACAATACGCAGATACTGTTCCCAGATAGATATATATTATATACTAGTTGACACGCGCAACTTCGTGTGCGTTTCATTTCCCCACCTCTTACAAAATTTTTCAATTCGAACCTGTAGTTCCTAAGATCAGCGCGTTCAAACAAACTCTTTCGCTTTATAATATTAGTATAGGTGTATTTAAAAAAAAAATATCTCTATGTATTTATATCAGTCGACCCATCTCATGGTAGACGGTTACCATAGGCTAAGGTAACTGATGCTTGAAACACCAGACGAAACTTACCACCTTACGAAATTTTAATATACCATTCTTGAAAAATACTATATCGTAGTTGTGTAGTTTAGGCATTTTAAACTTAACTGAATACTTATATTATATAATATTTGTTATAAGCATACGGCCCATCTGATGGTAAATGGTTACCGTAGCCTATGAACGTCTGTAACACCAGGGGTGTCACATGCGCGTTGCGACCCAACTTCTTGGAAAACCCCATGCTGTGAGAAAAACTCGGCAGGTAGTTCATTCCACAACCTAAGCGTACGCGAGAGGAAAGAATATTGTAAAAATTATTTAATTTGACGTAATATATCTGAAAATGTTTATGTTTATGTCACAGAATTCAATTACATGTGCAAATTAAGATCGATAGAGAAACAAATTAGTTGATTCCCCGGCGGAGGGCGTAACAAGAAACATGTGATTCCGTAAGGGTTTCATCAACTCATTTCACACATCGCTTCACGCAAGCCACTTGTATCCATATGCCCAATTAACACTCAGCCCGAGCGGGCAGGCAAGTGAGCTCGGAAGTGAGCAGCGTGAGAGTGTAAACGAGTGGAAACACTTCCCATGCCATTGGCGCTGCCACTCGCGCTGCCCGGCGCTCCCTCGATTGTCGGTTTTCGTGCGCGAGTCAAAGGACTGGCAGCGCGAGTGGCAGGGGAAGCGGCTGAATATAAACGTAGCATTTGATAAAGTATAAAGTGTCTACTGAGTAGGCCTATATTTAAAAAAAATCACTATTGCCTGTTTACCTCCATCTTGTCCCTGCTGGGTAGGTAGCGAACTCTGAAAAAGGGCGATCACAATAGATCTAGTAGGTCGCAGTGCTACAGGTGCTACAAATATCTGACAATAGGGGGAAAAGGGGATTGTTAGTAATATGGACTTAAGAACCAATTACTAGCAATGTACCATATCAGGTTGACCTCCAAGCGGTTCCCCCTGGAGACCATCGTGTTAAATTCCTGATGAATTTATCACGATGGGCTAACTGACTTGACTTCATGCTCATCTTATCATCCTCCACTGGTGCCCCGCCAGCGAAAACCGTTAGCGCAGGCGGGTGTACCATTCCATTATCATTCACAATAAAAAAATCTGACAATAGTCTAAACAACCCAATATACAAAAAAATACCTCCATGCCACTCTCGAGCGTGTAGCGCTGCAGCCGCTATCGAGTTTTACAGAATATCAATGTACAATCTCACCAAGGATTCCGCTTTCGAATTCGCAAGTGATGCTTACAGAATAGTACTCTACTGATAGACATTAGAAGTTCATTAGTGGCGGCGACGAGACGTCTGCGTGTCGTTAGCGACGCGGCACCGGCCCGCATGTGTCTCGTGTCTCGTGTCACTACGTCGCTCACTCGTGTCGCCGCACGGTACTACGTGACTGAGGTTGTGGCTAGTTTCTGGTTAAATCCATCTTTATAAAATTGTAGGGTCGTCAGTTCAATATTATGAATTGTTTTGTTATAGTATAGGGGGCAGACTAGCTTGCGGTTTACTTGGTAAGTGATTACCGCCGCCCATGAGCACCAGTAATGCAAGTGCTTTGCTGACCTTCTAAGAAGGAATAAGCTCTGGAATAGAATAGAATAGAAAATCATTTATTCAAATAAACTTAATTTAGGCACTTTTGAACAGTTATAACAATTTGTTTTTTATTTACCACTCGTTCCGAAAGCTGTCTCATTACAAGAAGAACGAGCAAGAAACTTGTGTGTTGCTCTTTTAAATAATCCTTGTAAGTTCACATTTACAAGTCGAAACGTGTGAATATAAACTACCAACCAGCACTAATTTTTTGGGTTAAATATAAATATATAATAAGATTAAATCAGTCGTAGTGATAAGAGCAGACCAGTCCCTACAAGCAGCACTCGTTCACGAGTATATAGATGAGCCAACCATCATATTTTAGGGAGCCCAATGACCCGGCCCACCACGCCGCCACATGTCTGGACATTTTAGTGAGCATGATTACTCATTCCACTCGACCACGTCACAGCTACAAAAATTACTATATGGTAGTTACAGTAGCTTGAAGCTTATTAAATAGTTTTACTGAATAAAATTGATTAACTAATTATTTAATAGAAATGTAGAGAGTAATAAGAAAGATATCGAGATATTAAATATTTTTATATAACGGCTAAACATAGATTTTTTATAAAACAGCCGAATCACATACATCGTAATATTTTATTTACGAGATACTGAAATCAGCAATTTTTCAAATATAACTATCTGGTCCTTCGAGACGGATCTTTCACATCATTGCTTAGCGGTAATAAAGAGTTAGTTTATCTTTTCGTTACCTTTGCAGCGTTAAACAAAATTTGGGACAATTATTCAGTAGGTCTGAATAATTGTCCCAAATTCTGAATCGGCTACTATCTATTTTTATACTCCTAAGTGATAAGGGTCGTCCACCCCTAACATTATTTTTTTATTTTTTGGGCACAATTTTTTATTTATATTTTTTTATTCTTTGTACAAAAAATACATACAACCCTAAATTTTCACCCTTCTATCACCAACCCTATTTTTTTATAGCGTTATTAATTTATATGGCAAAACGTTTGCCGAGACAGCTAGTTTTAGATAAAATTACTAGAAATATATCGCACTACTATTATAGACGCGGATGTCAGTGAGTGTGGATGAATGTATGTTTGTTTGTTACTCTGAATTTAATGAAATTTTACAATAATGGAGCTTATATAATATATAAGCATTTAATTTTATACAGCTTAGTGTATAATGTATATTTTTTATTGGGTTGTTTGGGCTATTATCAGATGTTTGTAGCACCTGTAGCACTGCGACCTACATAGATCTATTATGCTCGCCCTTTTTCAATGTTCGCTACCTAGACCCGTCAGGGACAAGAATTGAAGGATATTCTTAGGAGTGATGGTTTTTATCTCTTCGGGAAAGAGTGTAAACTTTCCAAAGGAGATATTTTGTTTATGCATGAGTGGGCTGCAACCACATAGGATGTGTATACGTTTCCTCTTCAGTTTGGCAGAATCTGCAGATTTTTGTCGTGCATAGGCCTAGTTTTGGTATATGTTTGTTTAATTTGCAGTGTCCTGTGAGGGCCCTAGTCATCATGCATATGTTGTTTTTAGTGTATATTAATAAAAATGTATAGTAACTTACAGTAATGGTTGGGTATGAGGTCGGGCTCGGCGTCGTCGAGGTCGGGCAGCTTGGCGCGCGGCGGCGGCTGGTGCTGCGGCGGCGGCTTGGCGGCGGGGGGTCGGCGGCGGCGGCGCAGCGACGCGGCGCACGCGGCCGCCACCAGCGCGCACGCCGCGCCCGCGCCCGCCCCCGCCGCGCCCACCACCCCGCCCACGCCCAGAGCCGCCTCCCGCGCTGCACACACACACAGAATTATATACTATTGTTAGTAATGTGGACGTGACTCCATTACGTGACCAGACATGTGGCGGCGTGGTGGACCGGGTCATTGGGCTCCCTAAAATATGGTCGAGCACAGTGATGGCTGGCACATCCACAACCAGGTCAATAAAATCTTCTTTATAAATTTAAAAAGGTTTAAAAATTTAAAATGATTTTCAATTAAAAATACCCACAAATATACTAACTGTTAGATAGTGATTCATCAGAGTCCACTAAGTTGTAGCAAAGGCATTAAATAATGTATTTTTTAACACAAATACTACAGTCGCGCAGGAACTCTCATTCGTACATTTAGAATAGTTTTATCGGATCCTGTCCTTGTACCGTTAAGTATCTATTTTTAGTGCTGTCTTGTTTGATCAGGTTCCAGGGCGATTTGCTTACTTTCTCTTCGCAATGAAAAGTGCTAAATCGAATCGCAATCTAGTAAAGGAATTAGCGTTCTGTATAAAAATTCGAGGAAACGCTCGAGATCGTTAGTAATTATTGAATTGAAAGGAAATTCGATGTTGGGCGATAGCTGAACTGTGAAGAATAAAAAAGTAAAAACACATCTGTACGAGTTAGCATCGTGCATAATTTCGCAACGTTAGCTGACGACCTCGGTGGTCTAGCAGTTTAGCACACCGCTTTACGACCGATGGTTGCGCGTTCGATTCCTCGCACCGCAGAAACATTTGTATTCATGTGTATGATTGTTTGTATCGGTATGGGTGTGTTTTTTATGTATAATATGTATTTTATTAAAAAAAAAGAATATATAAGTATCAGTTATCTAGTACTCATAACACAAGCTTTAGTTAGCTTAACTTGAGTCTAGATGGTGCTGTGTGAATTGTCCTGAGATTATTATTTTTTTTTTTCCCAAAAATTCTCATCTCCCCTCTTAAGGAGAGGAGATGGCAACATACCCCCGGCAGAAGCACAGTCGGCCGGGGTTCAGGGCCCCAGGGACAGAAACCGGCGTACAATGCGGGCAGAATCTAACAGCACCGCTTTCTGCATCTTTCCCGGGAGTGAACCGCCCCGGAATCCCAACCGTCTGAGATGTTGTTCCAGACTGGTTGGGATAAGACCGTTCACCGACATAACGATTGGAATGATTTCCATCACCCCCCACATTTCGGTCACCTGTGAGCCAGGTCGTAGTTTCGGCTTTCACGAGGTTCTCGTCATGCGGTACGGTGACGTCCACCAAAAACACCCTCGAGTGTGCCCGATCCATCACCACGATATCAGGTTTGTTCGCAAGAACGGTCCTGTCCGTGGTGATGGATCGGTCCCAGTAGAGCTTGACGCTGCCGCTTTCGAGGACCGGCTGGGGCTCGTACTTATAGTACGGCAACCTCTCATTCGCGAGGCCGTACTTCAGAGCTAGTTCTTGATGGAGTATTTTGGCTACCTGGTTGTGTCTGTGTAAGTACTCAGTGTTGGCAAGAGCTGAACAACCCGAAAGCACATGTCTGAGTGACTCTCCGGGATGGCGACATGCCCGACAGATGTCCTCAGTGCCATCCTTCAGAATGTGCTTTCGGTAATTGTTCGTCTTAACCACCTGATCCTGTATTGCACAGACAAAACCCTCGGTCTCTCCGAAGAGATCACCGAACTGTAGCCAGTGCACGGAGGTCTTCGTGTTGACGTACGGCCCGTGACGTAGGGCTTTGAAGAACCTTCCGTGCAACTCCTTCTCTTTCCACACGGCCTCCCGCTGAGAGGTACCCAGGACTTCGGGTTTTCGCCAGTCCTCTTTAGCCAGAGAAAGAGGGGTGAATCCTTTGTCACATTCTATGACCTCTCTATGCAAACCCTCGTCTCTTTTCTCCAGAAAATATGTCCTGAGGCTGTCAATCTCGCGGTTGTGCATGGTCTTAACGCTTAACAAGCCTCGACCACCAGCCTTCCGCGGGATGTACAGCCTCATGACTGACGATTTCGGGTGATGCATTCTATGGAGGGTCATAGTTGTGCGGACTTTCCGATCCAGGGCTTCAAGTTCGAGATTATTATTATTATTAACATTTTATTTTACATTTCACATTTCATTTAAAATCAATTCGCATTCGGTCATCAAGGATCCTGGCGTAATCATTTTAATCATTAATCAGTTATATTTTAAGTTTCAACATTATTTTACCAAAACTGTAATATATATTTCAACACTATATATTACAGTTTTAATCAAGTTTCTATAATAAATCGTTTTTAAGTAAAGTGGTAGAGTTTTCTGGGAGAGCTCGTGACGGTTTCAGCCCCAAAATTTAATATATTTATAATTTTTAGGACTGAAACCAGAAAACTCTACCATCGTACAATGAATATGTTTCTTTTGCTAAACAATTTTTAACGCTTTTTGTGTCCACAACATTTTGTGTCCACAAAATAAAATGTGCTCTAAAATGAAAAATAAATTTGTTACTGATATTTTTAGAGTTGCGGGTAAACAGATTAGATGTTTTTATAGAAAATTTTTGAATCCATAGCGCTGACAATATTATCTGATTGCACTAATAGCGAATGCATAGCGATTTCTATGTTGATTATCGCATGCCTCTTACTTGTTATACTGTAATTATTTATATAAAAAAAACATCTATTTAAAAGAGCAACACACAAGTTTCTTGCTCATTCTTCTTGTTATGAATCTGCGTTCCGAATGAGTGGTAGAGTCAATATATGACTATTCAAAAGTGCTTGTAATGAGTTTATTTGAAATAAAGATTATTTCTATTTGCAATGGGATTGTACCGCATGTCTGGTACCAGCAGTTACCATGTAAACACTATCGATTGTGAAGTGAGAAAACTGCAAAACTTGTATTGGTTATATATCACAAGTCAGATAAGTGTCTGATCTTAAAGGAGTTTGCAATTTCACCTCCGTCCGGGCCCGGCGCGCTGCGCCGGCTCAAAGAAACGGTTATTGGAGCAAAACAACTACTGCCAAAGAGTACTCCGGCGGTAATCTATACATATAAATAAAATTGCAGTGTCTGTTTGTAATATTGAAATAACCGTTCTTTATAAAATAAAAGTAGCCTAACTTACTCCTTATTACATCAGCTACCTGCCAAAAATACATGTAGTATATGAATTTTTTATAATTTTTTTCTGTCTGCCTGTCTGTTTGTTCCGGCTAATCTCTTTTTGGCAGGTAGCTGATGTAATAAGGAGTAAGTTAGGCTACTTTTATTTTAGAAAAATGAAGTTAAATTCCAACCATTCCATAACATTTTTTATAATTAATATAATATGTCTGTCTGTCTGTCGGTCTGTTTGTTCCGGCTAATCTCTGAAATGGCTGGACCGATTTTGGGACTTTTTTTGGCAGGTATCTGATGTAATAAGGAGTAACATAGGCTACTTTTATTTTAGAAAAATAAAGTTAAATTCCACGCGGACGAAGTCGCGGGAACAGCTAGTATTTCATAAGTAGCGCTTTGTAGAGCTCGCTCGGTCATTACGAAAGCTTAATTAGGGAATGGCTAATTAAATTCAATACGGTTCAAAACTGTACCCGATTCATGGTAATTTTTAACGTCTGGATGTTTTCTATGTATATTATCTATATATCTATAAAAAAAATAACTAAGTATTTATAAGAGTTGTCTAGTACCCATAACACAAGCTCTGCTTACCGTGGGACTAGATGGCGCTGTGTTAATTGTCCAGGGTTATTTATTTATCTAATCAAAGGTGACTGACATAGTGATCTATCAACGCACAGTCCAAACCACTGGACGGATTGGGCTGAAATTTGGCATGCAGGTAGATGTTATGACGTAGGCATCCGCTAAGAAAGGAATTTGATTAATTCTACCCCCAAGGGGATAAAATAGGGGAGGAAAGTTTGTATAAACTTTGGCAATTTTAAATCGATCGGGGTGAGAGTTTGCATAAAGCTACTATGACGTAGGCATCCCCTAAGAAAGGATTTTGAAAAATTCCACCCCTAAGGGGATAAATTAACGCGAGCGAAGCCGCGGGCAAAAACTAGTTTATTTATATACTAGCTAACCCGTGAACTTCGTTCCACCTCAAAATTAAATATGACAAAGGTTTTTCGAAGTTTAATTACGCAATGAATTTCTGAACCTACCCTGTTTGACAGGTATCAGCAGTTTGTATGGGAAAATATAATTGTTGTTTTTACTATTTTACATGCAAGTTCTTCACTACTTTATCATTGTTCAAACCTACCCTAGACATCCACGAATATTTCAAGACTAAAATTAGCTAAATCGGTTCAGCCGTTCTCGAGTTTTAGCGTGACTAACGAACAGCAATTCATTTTTATATATATAGATGGTCTATTGGCAAGGTAAATAGGTTTTAGTTAATATGTTTTAAGTTTCTTCAAAGTTATTAACGTGGTTATGAGCAAGTGTGGAGCTTTGGTGGCAGCACGTTACTGCGGCAGACAGCCCTTCAGACTAGTGATGTGATATATAAAAAAATCTATTTATACTATATATACTCGATGCTTTTATCTTAAACTAGCTACTCGCCCTGTATTCGCACAGGTGTACATGTATTAAACATATAAACCTTCCTCTTGAATCACACTATTAAAAAAAACCGCTTCAAAATCCGTTGCGTAGTTTTAAAGATTTAAGCATACAAAGGGACGGACAGACAGTGACAGCTACTTTGTTTTATACTATGTAGTGACTAGCTGTACCTGTGACTTCATCCGCGTGGAATTTAACTTTATTTTTCTAAAATGAAAGTAGCGTAAGTTACACCTTATTACATCAGCTATCTGCCAATAAAAATCCCGTCAAAATTGATCCAGCCATTTTAGAGATTAGCCGGAACAAACAGACAGACAGACAAAAATTTTAAAAATCGTTATTATGGTGTATGTACTTTATTTATATTCATATGCATGCAGTTAAAAACGGTTATTTCAATATTACACAGACACTCCAACGGCGACAGGGACTTTGTTTT